CTCTCTGGGGTCCTGCTCGGCCTGGCACTCCTGGGGCTGCATTTGGTTTGGCAGTGGGTTGTAGCTCCTGGGACAGGGGGACTGCCCTGCCCCAGTTGCAGGGTCCCCGAATTCTGGGACAGCAAGACTGGGATGAAGACGGCCTGGGCTCTGTGGTCTCTGAGGGGAGTGGGAAGCAGGCAGAGGAGACCCCGCCAGAAGAGCCTGGGCCTGGAAACCAGCCGGCGCCGAGTGGGCCTGAACGGGCGGGGGTGCTCGTGTGGACGCCGAGTGGCCCTGCCAGCCCGGGCACCGGCAGTGCCAGCAGGGTTCGTGCAGGTTCAGGTTGGGGTCACTGAAGCTCCCGGAGGCAGGAGCCAGAGCTTCCGGACAGAGTTGTGGCAGCGCCACCCACGGGGTGGTCAGGAGGATCTTGTGGGTTCTGCCTATGAAGCACCCCACTTGGTGCCTGGCACACAGCAGGAGCCAAACACGTCGGCAGAGGCAGCTGTGCCAGTCTGAGGCCGCAGGAGGCCACAGGGGAAAACGAGGACTCCAGATAGGGCCTGATCACATGGTCTAAGCCAGCCCTAGAAGGGGGACTGTAAGGCCAGGTGGAGGAGAATGTGGAGGCGATGGTGCCCGGAATGCCCTCCGCGCTCAGCTGCTAAGCCTGGCCTGCCCCGTAGCAGGTCTCAGGGCTTGTTGTGCCTTTCTTCTCTCATGTTTTAAGAGCTCGTGTATTGCTTCTGTGCGGTGGGAGAGCGCTCCAACAGGTCCTCATGCCCCATACACCCCAGCCTCGACCAGGCAGGGTCACAGGCAGGTGTGTGCACACTGGCAGGTAGGGGAGGCCTCCGGATGTGAACCCAGGACCGCCCCTGTGGCTGTGAGTATGGCGTGGCCTGCATTCCGCTGCAGCACTGTGGTCAGCCTGCTCTCCTCACGCTTTGTGCCTCATCCCAAGTGCCCAGGGCTGTCCTCTCTGGTCTGCATTTCCCTCCCAAGTGGAAACGAGTCTTCCAGTCCTCTTCCTGTCCCGTCCTGGGGCCATCTACACTGATTAGCAGTCAAACATTTCTCTGATGAACGTGAAGTCCTTGAAGGTGAAGCCTCGTCTTGGCCATTTTTGCCTCTGCTGGAGAAGCGGGCCGGCAGGAGTTCCATGGGGGGCTCCTGCCAATGACTACAGGGCCCTTCTCAGATGACACAGCTGGAGAGCTGCCTGGCCATGCCTTGGCGGTCAGGACCACAGCCTGGTGGTTTGGGGCTTTGGAACGAGCTGCTGCCAGTGCCCCAGGACCCCTTATGACTCCAGGACAAGCTACGTAACGTTCTGTCTTGATTCCTTCTCTGTAATGGGCGAGGGTATCCCCGAACAGGGGTGACCTGTGTGTCACTGAGGGGCACAGGGATTGCTGGAATATACCGGCAGGCTGGGCAGGCTCCGAGGGTGAGTGGTCAGCCCCACCAGAGCTGTTTCCATGACTGATCCTCCACAGGCAGGTGTGTCAGTGACACGATTGGCAGTGGCTTTTCATGGGGCTCTAGTTAGGGCTGACGGAATGAGTCCAAGGAGGAGTGGCGCGAAGGGTAATGCTATGTGGTGTCTTGGCCAGGCCTAGGGTGGTCAAATGTTGGGCTAGATGTTGTTGCCAAGGTATTTTTGAACTGGGATTGACATTTAAATCGACTGAATAGAAGAGAAGCAGCTGGTCCTGCCCAGTGTGGGTGGCAGAGGAAGAGTAAAGCTGGAAGTTTCCAGAAGAGGAAGAAATTCTCCTGGGATGACAACATGGACACCCGGCTGAGCTTCTGGACTGCTACCTGTGACCTGACTCCAGCCGAGCCCACTCCTCCCTGAGCGCCCAGCCTGAGGCCCCCTGCTGATGTGAACTCGCCAGCCCACGACTGCATAAGCCAGTCCCTTAACAGCTGAGCATGGTCAGCAGGCCCTCACCAGCTCTGCTTCTCTGGAGAGCCTAGACTGAGCCAGGCGGGGCTCAGCAGGCCAGGGCACTTCCCTGTAACTAAGTGAGGCGTGAAGATGCAGCCACTGACCACCAGCTGGCTACCCTGCAGCCCCTCCTCGTCGGGGGTGCTTTCTCCCACAGCCCCCACCTCTGTGTCTTCGTGCAGGAAGTTCAAGGCAGCGCAGGAACACTGTACAATATAAAATTTATTATAAAACTTCAGCAAATATAAATATCCAGGTGCCCACGGGGGACCACTGGGGTGCACAGACGACAGCACCAAGGATGATGGTGGGGAGCCGGCAGCTGCCCCCCGGGACACTGCTGGCTTTGGGTCTTGCCCATATTACAGACACGGCCAAACTGAAGGAAGTGTGAACACCCCACAGCACACCAAACGGGGCTCAGGGCTCCAGGCCGCTGTTGTGATGGGCCGGGATGATGTCCTGGCTCAGCAGGGCCAGGACTTGGCCTGGGACAGCAGGGTTTGGTGAGTACTGTACTTGTGATCTGTCACTCAAAAAAGGAAAGCATTACGAGATGGGTTTGAACAGGAACGCGCACTTGTTCGTAACTGAGAACGGTAAACCGTGTAACGTGGAAGTCCCTCCTCTGGCGCGTAAGTCCGAAAGGGACCACGCACCTTAGCAGGGACTCCGAAGTCCTAAGTCAGGGCAGACCTGGCAGGCGCCCCTTTGAGATGACAAGGGATCTTGTGGTGCCAGGTCTCTGAGGCAGGGCCAGGAGGAGGACCCTGGGCAGAGGCCTGGGGCTCCCCAGGCACTGGCCCCTGCACTCAGAGAGGTTCATCGCTCCTGACAGCGGGGGCGGCCCCTGGATGGAAGGGGGCCTGCTAGGTAGGTGGCGGCAGGTATTTGTACACTTGCTGTGGTCCATGCCTTTGCTTCTTCTTACAAAGCTCCAGGTGTGGATCGTTTAGCAAGCTCAGCCCACCTGCCTTTTGGACTTGATCTGGCCGAAGTGCAAACACAGGTGGGTGTCTCTCCTGTTCCTCACAGTGGCCCTTGGGCCTGCATGTGGAGGCTGGCCTGCGGGGCCCCACTGCCAGCCTGGCGGGAGAGCGTGTGTGTGCGTGGACACACACATCCAGGCTCAGAGGAAACACACACACGCACGCCCCAGGTCATGGCGTCTACCAGTTGTTCTTCCCGCGTCCAGCTTCCCGGGATGCATCCTGATGGGGGCTGTGCAGCTCTTTCGTGCTCAGATGCCTCTGCCGGGCAGCACTGCTCCGCATGGTGCCGCGGCCCTCACAGGCTGGACTGGGAGCACGTCCTGCAGCACTGCTTGCCGTAGAACTTGTGGCTGCACATCCCGTGCTGGGGCACCAGGTAGCACCACGCGAAGTGGTCTTGGCAGAAGGTGTCTGAAACGAGCGAGCGCCACGTTAGCAATGCCAGAGGCTGCCAGCTAGCGACCTACTGGCCCAGCGGAAGCTCTGTCCTAGCTGTGAAGCTGCCCGTGGGGGGCAGCTCTTCAGGTCTAACGGGGCCTATGGCGCTTGGTCTTTTGCAAGACCTTTTCAGAAGGTTCCTGAAAACTGAAATGTCCTTATCGTACTAAACCCACCCACTCATCCACTCGTCCACCCAAGACAAGGGAGCTTCTGTTGCCTGAATTTGACTATTTTTCTCCTGGAGCCAAACTACCCACTACCCTCCAGTTACTTTCTCCTTGGGGCTGGCCGTCAGCATCTGTCTCTGCACGCACTTGGGCATTCTGTGTGTTCCAAGAGCCCCCAGTGAACACGGGACTTTTGCTTCACTCCGGAAGAAGGCTCTGCAGGCTACGCAGGCTTTTGAAAGGCTGCGAACAGCCCTGACCTAGGAACGAGGCTGAACCTTCTCAGCGCTAGGCGTATTTCACAACCACCTCTCACTTTGGGGCGGTGCGAGGGATGGGTGGGAGCTATTCTGTGGGCCACAATGTGGAGCTGGAGAGGGGACACCTGAGTGACACGAGTCCTGGCCGAGGACTATGACCAGTGGGCACCTGTTCCCACAGGCCCTGACAATCACCTAGAAACTTGGCGTCTCCACCCCAAGTGCCCGCCAAGGCCGGGGGTTCCAGGTACTCACCCTTCTTCTCTGCGACAGCGCAGAAGTGAGTGTTGCAGGCCAGGGAGGCCGCAGGCTTCTGGTGCACGAGGCAGCCCGAGGCCGGCTGGCCCCCTGCCAGGCATTGCACGGACCTTGTCTGGACGCCACCCCCACAGCTGGCTGAGCACTGCGAGAGACACATGGCTGTCACCACAGCTGCCAGCTCCTAGCGGCCCATCGCCCCAGACCAGCAAGGTAAGGACACGCCACGAGGAGAGAGACAGGCACCACAGTAGGCTGTGCTGGGCTGCACTGCGGACGTGGCCCCCGCTCACCTCCTCCAAGCGAGCGAAGGACCCTGGGCCAGGCCCCCGTGGGCCGTCTAGACCACCCAGTGTTGCTGCTGCTGCTACCCCACCTGCTGCTCAGATGGGAGGCAGCCCTGGCTAGTGGCAGGACAGCTGGGGCTGGGGTCTGAACTGCCGAAGTCTGATGCTCTAGCCTCCACGGAGGGTATGAGCGTTCCTGAAAGCAGGCTCTTTGGGGCAGGGCAGTTTTTAAAAAAGTAAGTAAATATTAATAGATACTCCTGCTTCCAGTAAAAGCTCCTTGGACTACAGGCAGTACAAAAAGGAAATGCCATTAGATACATACCTTGCCCCCGCACCCTCCCGGTAAAGTTACTGTAGGTTAACCTGGATCCGGATAAGAACGTTTCTATTTAGGCTTCTATTGCGTCAATGGAAAAGTCATGACGTCTTTTTCTGTGTTCTTTGATGCAAACGTGCTTAATGCCGTTTCTGACGACCTGCTATTTAAGGCACTGTGAAGCACAAGACTGCTGCCATTGCTGCCCAGGACCGACTGGGACAAAGGAACTGACTGTGTGTGCAGGGCTCTTCTCCCACCTGTGCTGGAGCCACCCTGGTCACGTGGCTGCAGTGACCTGAGAGCAGGACAGCAGCAGGAGCCCGACAACTGTGCAGAGACCGGGAGGAATCCAGACACTCAGCCGGGGTGGTGCTCAGCCCAAGGCCAGTGAGGGCAGCTGGTCCCCAACAGCACGCGGGACGTAAAACAGTCACAGAGTCAGCAAGTGGGGTAGTGGTTAAGGCTCTGGATGTTCACATGGCCAACCGCACGCAGTTCAAGTCCTGGACACAGAGGCTCTAAAGTCATGCCAGTTGTGTGTGCGCGTGCTCAAAATCTCAGGAGAATGGAGAAGGGATTACAGTGTGGCCATTCCCCCTAGGGAGTGATTTCTTGCTTTCTGTTTCTGTGTCTCTGTCTCTCAGGCAAGCACACTCCTGCTTCCAGTAAAAGCTCCTTGGACTACAGGCAGTACAAAAAGGAAATGCCATTAGATACATACCTTGCCCCCGCACCCTCCCGGTAAAGTTACTGTAGGTTAACCTGGATCCGGATAAGAACGTTTCTATTTAGGCTTCTATTGCGTCAATGGAAAAGTCATGACGTCTTTTTCTGTGTTCTTTGATGCAAACGTGCTTAATGCCGTTTCTGACGACCTGCTATTTAAGGCACTGTGAAGCACAAGACTGCTGCCATTGCTGCCCAGGACCGACTGGGACAAAGGAACTGACTGTGTGTGCAGGGCTCTTCTCCCACCTGTGCTGGAGCCACCCTGGTCACGTGGCTGCAGTGACCTGAGAGCAGGACAGCAGCAGGAGCCCGACAACTGTGCAGAGACCGGGAGGAATCCAGACACTCAGCCGGGGTGGTGCTCAGCCCAAGGCCAGTGAGGGCAGCTGGTCCCCAACAGCACGCGGGACGTAAAACAGTCACAGAGTCAGCAAGTGGGGTAGTGGTTAAGGCTCTGGATGTTCACATGGCCAACCGCACGCAGTTCAAGTCCTGGACACAGAGGCTCTAAAGTCATGCCAGTTGTGTGTGCGCGTGCTCAAAATCTCAGGAGAATGGAGAAGGGATTACAGTGTGGCCATTCCCCCTAGGGAGTGATTTCTTGCTTTCTGTTTCTGTGTCTCTGTCTCTCAGGCAAGCACACATGTCCTATAGTAAAAATCTCTCTCTTAAAACAAAACCCAAACCCAAAACAAAACAACTTCACTACAGAATTCTCCCTCAGAGCCCAAGGAAGTGCGGAGTGGGGAAAGGCAGGTGGGAAGGTCTCAAGCGAGTTCTGCTGGCCTCCACCTGGGCTGGCCTCGCCCAAGGGCCCTCACAGGACAGTTACTCTCAGGGTGTTGGACACCCTTCCTCACCTTCACAGGGTCGCGGCAAACTCAGCAAACTTGGAAGCACCTATTTACTCCTGATCTCAGATTTCCTCCCCAGTCACACTCATCTTTGGGGAATTCTGCTTAGGTTTCACCCAAAGCATTGCATTTCCTGACACTTAATTGGGGGACTATTTAGAACAAAACACATGTGTCCTGAAACATCCAGTAATAATTGAAGACTGTTCCTGGAGAGCCACATCCGACCCCAGGAGCAGGGCCACTCACACACACCAGTGAAAAAGAGCACAGGGGCAGTCGGCAGGCTGCTGGGAACCCGCCCTTGCAGAAGCCTGCGCGCAGGGGCCGGCACCCACCCACGGGGGCAGGAGCTTGGCCGCCCACGGGAAGTCGGACCCTCCCCTACCTGAGACCAGGGAGAGGAAAACCAGCTGGCCTTTCGGGGGCCTGCAGCCGCATACAGGGGACGCTTGGGGCACGGAAGCAGGGTGCAGGCGCGGTCCAGTTCCAGGGTGGGCTTTGGCAGATGCAGGCACTTCTTTGAGGCCAGCTCTCGATACTTCCCAGAAATGTACTTTTCAGCACATTTCAAAACCCTTCTCTGTGTTCCTCTATCACATGTCGCAGAGCACTAAAATGAAGAACAAGAGAAGTGAGTGGAAAACACCTCATGGCATTTTAAGGAGGCATTATAGTATTTACCATCAGAAGAGTGGGACAGCATCGTGGGGCACGAGTAGGGCGCAGCAGGCGGCAGGGTGACAAGAATAACCCTAAAGCTGCGTTTCCCTGGAGGGGAAAGCTACTGGGCTGTCACCGATAATGGAATGCACTGGAATTTCACACTCAGGGACACGTGGCCCCAGCTTCAGAGAGCACCCCACCCACCTGCAGGCCTGCAGCTGTCCCCCCAGAGCAAGGGCAGGTGGGAGAAAGCCAGGGCTCATAGTCCTTCCCCAGAAACCCAAGTGCCTGGGAAGAGGGGGCATGCCCAGGGACTAGTCCATCTGCTCTAAGGTGGCTCTAAGCTCGAGCTGTCCCTGCAGCTGACAGCCTGGCATGTGTAGAGGGCCCAGGGTGAGTCTGCACTCGGGGGAGGGCATGAGGGGCTCTGGGAGAGACGTCCTGGCTGCCAGTGTTGCAGCCTCATGCTAGGCGAGAGTGGCTGGCAGGGCCCTCTTGGACGCTGAGCTCAGGTGCCCACGAGTGGTCCAGAGGAGCTGGGCGGCACCTGCCTGGGCCCGCTCTCGCCCCTCCCTGTAGGCTTACAGTAGGCTTCTGTGTATTCTGATGCCAAGATGGAGACTGGGTAGAAGATGTCTCTGAGGCGCAACCCAGCAACAGCCTAGATGGACCTTCCAGCTCGGTCTCTGTCTCGTATCAGCGTGAGGACTCCTAGACACTGCCCGTGGAAGCGCAGCCCAGTTGCTGGCTTTCCCATCCCTGCTCCAGGGAGGAGCACAACAGAAATGTCTTTTCTAATGACTGTGGCACTTGGTCCTAGAGACATATCATCCCACACCTTCTGGGGACGAGAGGACCTGGGCTCCTTGGCAGGGGCAAGGCAGCCTCAGGGCGCGCCAGTGTCTCCTCCTGAGGCAAACTGAGAGTGACTCAGCAGGGCTAGATCCCGGCTTGCGCTCTGCCCTCCTGAACAAGGAGTCCTCCGAGGTGTAGGTGCCTCATGAGACCCTGGCATGTCCCCGAGGAGTGTGGGCGGGGATGGCAGGAGCTCCTCTTCCATGGTCACTGCAGAATGGCAGAGGCCCAGCTTCGGGTTTACGAGATCTCTCAAAATGGAGGAGCACATTCCCACATGCTGGAACCCTTACACTGGGGCCCGAGACAGCGCTGAACCACACAGACGAAGGCCTGCCCAGCCTTTAGCGCGAGGCACTAAAACTGGCAAAGCCGATGTAAGAAGTTCCTTCGGTAAATACCGACGCTGCCTGGGAAGCTTGGTCCAGGCCGTGAGTACCACCTCTCCCCAAGCAGCCCGCCTTCTTCCTGCACTGTGCTAGCTAAGGAGTCCCTGGAAAACGGCCCCAACTCTCTGTGAGGACAGACCACCCTGCTCGGGCTGACCAGTGATGGTGATGTGGATGCCACTGGCTGAGACTCAGAGAGCAGGATTCCAAAGCAGAGGACATCGAGACGAGCTATGAGGTTGCCCGAGTCTGGCCGGGTTGGGGACACGGCGGCATAGGAACAGAGTAAAGGGTGAGCGGTAAGATGCGGGGAAAGCAGGAAGTGAGAGGCAGTCTCAGGGCAGAGCTGGTGGCCCTACCTGGGACCAGGCGGACACGAGCCACTGCAGCTTCTTGTGCTTGTGGCAGCGCTTGGGCAGACAGGCCTCGTGTGTCCTGGGCTTGGTCTCGGAGCTGCAGACGGCGTCGGGCAGCAGCTGAGCTCTAGCCGAGGGGCTGGTGCTCTTGCAGGTCACCACCCTCTTCCTCCAGCCCTTCCCACAGGTGCGTGAACACTGTGCAGAAGAGCGTGGTCACGTCCTGCCTGGAAGCGCGCCCGGGATAAGGATGTGCCCAGCCACCACCCCACGCTCACCCTGGTTACCTCTGCCCAGGGACCGACACTCCATAGAGGCGGGCAGCTCTGTGTGTTGCAGGCCTGCCGGCTGGCGGGCACAGGCTGTGGGCACAGGCTGGTGGCCACCGGCTCTGAGCTGTAGTGTGCACGCCGAGTGCACTGGACAGGCCGGCTCTGAGTGCCCCCACCGCATGTCCGGCTGCAGATGCTCCAGTTCCCCACGGACCAGCTGCAGGGGACAGAGAGACCACCCTCAGGACTGGGGCTCGTGCCAAGAGAGCACTTGCCACGCCTGCTGTGGCCGGATGGGCACCGTCTCCCCCTCAGCCTGTGAGAGTGCAGTTGCCCTCCGAGTTGACCTTCAGTGTCTGCCCTGCACGTCACTCCCTGGTGCTGTGACTTCTTGTCTCAATCAGAAGGCTGTCCTGTTGTCTCCTTCTCTGGCATTTGAGTCCCTGGTCATTGCTTGGGACTCTCAGGGATCAGTTCTGGGACCCCAGAGGATACCACAACCCACAGTTGCTTAAGTTCCTCACATAGAACACTTCACATCATCTGTGGATTGCTTACAATACCTAGTACCATGGAAACGCTGTGTGAATAATGACACTGGACTGTTCAGGGTGATGGCAAGGGAAGGGAGTCTGTCTCACCCACAGTGGGCTGAATCCACACACGAGGAACCCACAGGTACGGAGGGCTGCCTTACTTCGATGTCCCGCCTCAGTGGGTGTCTACTCTCTTTGTTTAAAAAAATGGAAACATAGAACAAATAAAGGCCCTCACACTTGTTCTTCTCCATGTAACTTCAATGGCTACCTATGCATGTCCCCAATTCTCATAGCACTTTTATTTTTGAGAGAGGTTTTTGCTATAGGGTGCGTGCGCTCACCAGACAGACAGAGAGAGACAGAGAGACAGAAAGCGAGAAATCACCCCCCAGGGGGGGATGGTCACGCCGCAATCCCTTCTCCTCCATTCTCCTCTTGGGATCTTGAGCACGCACGCACGTGTGCCCGGCCTGAGTTTTAAGCCATCGGGTCCGGGACGCGAACCATGGCCGTCTATGTGGGAGTCCAGCGACATAGCCATTACGCTAACTGCTGGTCCCTCCCATAGCACTTTGAGGCAAATTCCAGACATGTGAGTATTTTAACACACATCCCTAGAAGATAGATTCTTTGTTATTCAAATGTATTCTCAATACCATTCTATCTACATTAAGGATATTACTTTACACCATTAAATATTCAATGTTCCAGTCCCAATTGTGTCCTAAATGATATAAATGAACCTGTTTTTATGAGTCAGAATCCAATAAACAACTCACTTTATAGTCACCTTTCTTCTCTTTTTCTCGGAGGGTTCTTTCTTAACATTGCTTATTTTTTATTCAGTCTATTTACTATAGAAACTAGCTTTACCACACTGACCCTACCATGGCTTTCTTCCTGATGGCAGGATTTCATAAACTACATCTCCGTGGTGTCTTCTCACATGCTCTTCTGTCCTCTGTATTTCCTATTCGCCAGTAGCTGGACTGAAAGGCTCGAGGGCTTCATGTCTCGTCGTCTTGTTCTCAATGTGTTCGCAGATGGAGATGCTCCATAGTGTTACTGCTCAACAGCACATTTCTCTTCTGGTTATGAAGTATCCCCTATGATGTACACGCCGGCAGGTGATGGGGCACGGGCAGACTGGGCCCAGGGTCAGCCTAGTGGCACCACTTTTTGACCGCAGACCAGCCAGCGTGTGTGCACAAGCTGCGGGCTGGCGCTGTGAGGCCCGTCTGTCGGAGGGTCCTGCATATCCTGGGAAAGGGGGCAGGTGGCCCAGGAGAACAGGGGACCTAGAGACCAAACGCGGCCCAGTAACAAGGACTCTGGCTGGAGGACTCCTGGAGGACCTGCTTTTCAGTTCACCTTCGTCTTCCTTTCAGCCGCTCATGGGCCAAGGTGGAAGAGGACTGGGAATGCAGATTCCGTGGGAGACTTCGGCAGCACTTGGTGCTTGTGGAAACATATCTCTGAAGGGAAAGGGGAAGCAATGGTCCTCTCTCAGATCACTTCTGGAATGCTGTAGCTGTTTTGTTTTACAAATGGAGCCCCAGGAAAATATGTTCATTTCAGTTTGAGAAGAGTCACAATCCCCTCAAGTTTCTGTGCTGACCTGAGGTTCCGGTGGACAGGAGCGAGCTGGACTCAGCCGCCAGCCAGTGGCCGCGTTGGTCTCCACCGTGTCTTGGTTAGTTCCCCCCCCGGACCCCCGTGCTGCTACTACCTGACCCAGCTGCGTTTCCAAGGCGGGACGAGGAGGACTGAGTCACCAGCCACCACCGGCGCCTTCACAGCCATGGGCTCCGCCTTCTGCGTTTCCAAGGCGGGACGAGGAGGACTGAGCCACCAGCCACCACCGCGCCTTCACAGCCGTGGGCTCCGCCTTTATCAGGTACACCTCACAGGCCTCAGTGCTGCCAGGGGTTTGCGGTTTCCATTCAACAGTTTAGGTAGGATTTCCTGTTATTACTTGTTAATTATTTAATATTCCTAATTCCATTTTTTCTCCTTATCCATTTAAAAAATTAAAATAGCATTTTGTTTTGGGCCATGTAATGTTTCCTTGGACAATGTAAATTTCCGACAAGAGTTTAGTAATATTCCTTGTCGGAAAGCACCGCACAAGGGCTCAGGTGTCGTAATGACAACTCAGACAAATGCCAGCCCCCGCCTGGCGCCCTGTGGGCAGCTTGTGGCGAGAACCACCCAGAGCCCCCCGAGGTCACCTGTGGACTCATCAACCAGGCTCTCAGAGAGCAGGCGGCCACTCCATTCACTTCAGAGGTCAGCTTCGTTCCTCTTTTCCTGTTGATTCTTTTCAAAGTTTCAGATCAAGCACTCAAGAGCAGGCCGTTTTCAGAAGTAACTTGACTGTCTATGCAATAGTCTCTTGCAGCTCAGTAAACACATGGAATGAGGAGGGTCCAGAAACCTTGTCACAAGACAAAGCCTGGTACATCCTGGTTACTGACAGCTGGAGCTGGTCCCACAGGGCGAGCACGTGGCATGATGAAGACAGAACTGAAGCACAGGGCCAGCGAGGAGCTATTCTGCAGCGTCGGGGCGGCCCTGGGTATGCGGGACCTGTGCGTTTTGGTGCATCTGTCACAGTTGTGAAGTAGGATGTTCTGAGTTCCATTGTCCACTTCCACAGCCCCCATGGCTACCCACATGGAACTCACACACTCAGTACCCCAGAGGTCCCGGGCCAGCAGGACGGGCGTGGCACGGATTCTGCAGGTGCAACCACCTTGTCTTCATGCGCAATGACGGCACCTTCTCGTGTGTAAGTCATTGGAGAGTCACTGCCCTTTTCATTTAAATGAAATGTTTTAAATGTAGCAATGCATATTTAATAATAAGTAGGTGCTGGTGTGAAAACTCTGCCTTTTCCACAGGAAAACAAATAATTTAACAAGCCCACTTGAGCACAGGCAGGCTATCTGCTGGAAATACTTTGGTCATGGTGTCCAGAACTTGGGAGAATGTGGGTGGGGACCGCTGAGTTCCTGAGACAGTCTATTGGTGGCCAAGGGCTACATCTCGCCTCCCTCCCTCTGCTGACGGGGGCATTTCTTACTGGCCCTTTTAAGAGATGTTTCATTGGCATCACCTGGTAACAGCCATGCCCTGTGCAGTCCAGAGGTGGAGGAGGCCCAGTTCTGAAGGAGCCAGCACTCTGGGTAACCATGTGCATGAGCAATCATGGCCCACAGGGCTGGGGTTAGTATACACACCATGCTGGTCAAGGTATGCACTCTCCAGACCCTCCTGGAGGCCGGCAGAGGGTATATCAGAAGTGCTGACTCTGCGCCATCAGCCCTCCTCCACCGGCTGTTGGCAGGGATAGATGTTGGGGTTTTTCCCCAGGCCAACCAGGACTGTCTGAGTCTCTTGAGATGCATCTTTCCAGAGAAAATGCAGGGCTGACCCGAAAGGAAGGCTCATTACTGACGACAGGCTGGCAAGGAGCAGGCCGGGAGTCAGCAGGCCGGAGCCAGCCACCTGACGGTTACTCATTCTCTTCAGCCTCCACGGTTGAACCACTTTGTTCAACTGTGAGACTGAGGGGAGAGTTAGAATGAGCCAGACACAGAGGCTGAGTTGCTTTCATGCCTAAGGCAGGATTTCATTGCTGGAGAGCAGGACACCGAACCAAAGCACATGAAAAGCTCCAGTTGGGAGGCAAGGCGGGTGCTAATTTTATAGACTGCGGGAAGCCGAAGGTCCGCAAGGTTTCACTCCCAGAGGCCAACCTGTGAGTTCTTACCATGCTTTCCTGTCGCACAACCCTGTTGTCAGATCTTATCTTAAAAGGAACCAGTGAGACCCATAGAGCTCTCCTTTTCATGGGGAAAGACTGGGGAAATGAAACACAGAGAGACTGGCCTCACCCTTCAAAACAGCTGCAATAATCCCTGTTTCAACAACAAAAATCCTTCATCTGAGGGTTTTCTCTGCAGAACATGGGGCATTTGCATTCTGCTCACTTAAGAACACGATCTCCGCTCATAAAAGTTAAAAGGACGTCCGTAGGTCCTAAACGACCACAAGGCTCTGGTTCTCTGTGAGGCTCCCCGCTCTGACCAGTCTCCACAGAAGCCGGGAAGAGAGGAGGCCAAGGCTGCGCTGGAAAGGCTGAGGACGGACCAGATGTCCAGCTTGGCCTTAGGTATGGGATCTGGAGTCCCAGGGAGCAGGGCCATCACTGAGTCTGCACCCGGGAGGGGTGGGAATCTGGACACCCTGTACCCGCTGGGACAAGAGCCACAGCACCGGTTCCCCGTCCCCGCCCTACTGGGAGGAAGCGTGACCTTCCACACCTTCAGAGGTCGGTGTGGGGAGGCAGCTCCCTCTGCCCCCTTCTGTACCCCTTCAACAGCCGTCAAGTCAGTGGTCGATGTCACAAATGTCCTTGCTATGGGCTGAAAAATACTGTGTGTAGGACGATGTACAGGTGGGTGAACTGGCAGCCTAGATCAGAGGCAGCTGACGCAGAGAACGGACTAGAGGTAACTCTCCCCTGTACCAGGGCTAGCACCCACACTCCCATGCCCTGGGAGATGGGGGCTGGCAGGACTTGGCAACCCGCCCGTCACTAAGGAAGCG